GTGCTCAAGACCGGTTCGTCGAGAAAAAATCAGTGGCTGGGAGCCCACGACATGGAAATGATCGCAGGAGCTATTGGAAGCAGGGGTTTTCCCGCGTTGTGCCTAGATCGGAACCATGTTTCTCGCGTCCAAACCTGGTTTATCGAAGATAGATTGGAGTTCTTGTCGCAGAGGTTTTGAGAGGAGACTCGTAGATGGAACGAGTACAAAGTATCAAAGAACGGATACATGTCGGGCCGGTCTTCAGATTGCTCTTCCTACAAGAGGTTTCCGACGTTCACTCACTCTAGTGTACATGAAACTCCAGTCGATGCCAGCGGCCACGTGGTCGACCTTTGGGACTTTCCGGAAAACCTGTTATTTACAGATTTTTTGTCGATACAGTAGCGGCCGGTGCGAAAATGACCACAGAATTGAACATTTACCCCAGAAGACTTCAGGCTGCCAAAGTCAACGGATACGCTACCCACTACGTCAATTGAAATGCCTGGGCACGGTCAAACAAGTACTAGTACATAGGTCGCGAGGCTTCAACGCAGCACCTGTAGACTAAGTCACAGGATAGTACGACATTATGTTTCAAGCAATCTCACCGGTGGTGCATCGTATTTGTGCTTTTGGCAGGCCGAATTGCCAATCATAGAGTTCGTGGTAGTGAAGAACGGGTTGGACGAGTCTCGAATCTGCGCAGGCATGTTGTGTCACATGAAAGACACGTCCAAATCATGTATGGAGGTACAACGAGAAACAAAGAAGGCGTACAAAGAACCAGATCGGAAGCCGATGAGTGATGAGCGAAGGAAAACTCGTCAGAAAATGGTCTCTGAAATAAATTTGCCAATTTCAGAGCGGCTGGCGATGCGAACGTATTTCCCCAAGGTGGTATTCTGTAAGGAGAACCAGCATCAGGCCGTACTTGTTTTATGAAATTCGAGGACGTGCGTACCTCGCGCCATGAGTTTTCTCTTCCGAGAGTTGACCTTAATGTTGTTGTGGAGATGCGGTACCGTTCCGAGCTGTGCAGCCCTACTCGCGTCTGGAGGCCACAGACATTACTACGTGTACCAACAGAGTAAAGGTCCCTGCCAGTATGTGCCCCGACAATTCTCCGGAACCTTGCCGAACCGGCACTATTCGGAGTATTGAGAATGACTTGGGAATTCACTGTGTGTGCCCGACGAAGCACCTGCACTGTACCGGGCACCGGCACTAAACAGGGACCTCTACAACTGCACTCGGAGTGTAGGCTATAGACTAGAATCTGTGTAGATCTAGTGTAGTCTTGTGTTATGGGGGCGGATAGAATTCTCGTGCCCGCCTCCTATTCTCTACACCAGAGAGACAGCATTCTACCACCATGATACTACTTGTACCTAGTCGGTGCTCTACGTGCCACATCGTGTCGCAGGATGACGTGCGGTACTGAGCTTAGAGGTCGGAGGTCGTTTGACGAAGATTTTCAAAGAACGCCCGAGCAAGGTGCACCAGCTTTTGGCCTCTTCTCTTTCAAAAACACCATTCCAAGCCTTGTTTCGCTTACTTCTAGGCATCCTCGCCCTCTTTGAGCCATCTCGCCAGCCCAATGAGTCTCTCTTGCTTGACGGGCGTCGCGCGGGTTCGTCGTATTGGTCGAGTCGTCGTATGATATGCCACACGTTTCGAGCTGCACGTTTCAGTCACCTTTACCGCCTCCCTGTACAGCAAACTCCCCGATGATTCAGAGGGGCACCGCAGCCGGGGGCTTATATCCGCTGACAATTCCATTCTGCGGGCACCCTCCGTGAACATGCTCTCGGCTCTCGGTGAAGCGCGACGCAGTGCCTGTGCGCGGTCCACGTCGCACGGATGTCTCCCATGTTGAAGGTCCTGGTGCTCATGTGCGTATTCGTTGGAGGGAGGGAGACGTCAGCGTTCTTGCACAACGCGCTTGCGGAGAGATCTGCGCGAGATGTGACAGAGTTCTGCTCTCGTCAGGTGAGAAAGAGAAGCAACGCTCGCGGGTGTGTCGCATGATCAACATGAGCCAAGGCGCAGCGACACCGAGCTTGGAGTGTTATTGCTGCGAAGAAGGGAACCCAATATTCGAGCACAATGGACAGTATTGCCCATCACTGCCGTAGTTTTGGCGTGTGAGAGGGCTTCCTCGAGCGGCGTGGATGCTGCAATCCGCTTGCTGTCCACGCGCAGCGTCAACATGGCGGTGCACGTGTACTAGTACCACACACGTCCTGCCAGCAGCACCAGCACCAGGAGCAACAGTCTATAGTAGTAGACATACACGAAGTACATTACAGAAGCTATCTATTGGTGCAGTTGAAGCACAGATGCTGAGTACATACGCAGAATCGCACATTTTGTTGCCTGGAGCTTTCAGTACCTTTGTGGCGACAGCAGTGCTGCGGCGTGTCGCACTGCTGTAGATCTATCTGGTCTGTACACCCGGCACGGGCGCTCCAACCTACTGCTGTAGGGAAGTTTCTCGCGTTGAGCCTATGGATGCATAGAAACAAACGACAGCAGTTGACCAATCGCCGCTTGTGTTGTTGTTGGTGTTGGTATCAATGACGTTTTCGATCCTCCCTACCTACTGTACCCTGTATATCTCTCTCCGTCTCTTTCCCAACTCCGTGTTTCCCACCTGCCGCCTTCTCTGTACAGCGGTTAACCTCCTCTACTTTCCGCGTCACTTTAACTTTTCACATCCTAACAGGGCGCTGCGGTAAGACAAAGCGGCACGAACCGGTCAGCAGCGAGAGAAGGGCAGCTCTGCATGAAGGGAGGCGGCGGTGGACGCAAGTCCAAAGGGAACAAAAAAGGCAGGGGAAAAGTGAACCCCGATCTGCAGGCTGCACTAGAGAAGTGGGAGCCTGTCATCGGGATCGAGATACACGCGCAGATCTCGTCGAGCACGAAGGTACTCTCCTTTCCTTTCTTTTTCTTCATTGTCTTATTCGGCTGGCATCGTCATTGCCCTTTTTTTTTAGGCGTCCAGGATAGGCGCAGCATTGCCGCCAGGTGGTCTCTCTCAACCGTTTAGATCATACCCACAGAAGCCCGTCAGGCTCATGCCGCATTGTCTCAGTACCCACCTCGCTCTCCCCCGGCCTCTTTTGCTCAGTCCCTCTTCACCCCCCGTTTTCCTTTCCCTCGCAGGCGTACTGCTCCTGCAGCACCCTGTACAGCCCCGACAGCCCCAACACGAACGTCTGTCCCGTATGCCTCGGCGAGCCGGGCTCCCTGCCGGTGCCGAACGCGCGAGTCGTGGAGCTATCCGCTAAGGCCGGCATGGCTCTCGGTTGCACCATCGCCGCAGAAACCAAGTGGGACCGCAAGGTCCGCGCGCAAAACCCGCGTTGTGCCGTCGAGTGTCTCGTGCCGTGACCCCAGAAACATGGTAGAAACGCTTGCCGCATTACTTCCTGTCGTGCGGAACTGTTCGGGTCGTTTATGTGAGAGCGCATTTTTTCCAAATGTTTGGAAGTTTGAAGCTTAAGGAATCTTGTGAAGCGAGTTCGAAGGCCAAATAATTAGAAACCTTCCAACAATGTGTGGAAGCGACCTTTCCAATTTTTCTCGGCCTTACTGGCTTCCACATTTTTCGATTACTTCCAAATACTTTTAAGTAAAAGGAGCGGAAAAAATGTCTCCGTGTTTTAACCGCCCCCAGTTACACAGTGCTTACAACTGTCTCTGGAAGTGAAAGCACCAGAAAGTAAATTAAGTCATACGCAGCTGTCATCCGTACGCAAGGAAGTAAGCACAAGATGCCGAAAACCCTTAGCAGGATGCAGCGCACCCTTCATGCGACTCGCCGAATATCTCACGGCGCTTCGCGCTTGGTGATGTGAGANGGTCGGGAAGAGACGCGAGGAAGCTGACATGGCAGTATCGCATGTGCGGGGTGGGAGAGGAGAGGTTGCCGAGAATTGTATGGGAGGCGAAGTGGGCAAACAATAAGAGGGGTGGACAACCCACGGAACGGGTCAAGGTTGTAGAGGACGTATGGAAGGGGTTCGACATCAACGAAGATGATCGCCGGAAACGGAGGGTCTACAGGGGTTCAAGGAGAAGATATCTGTTGCTTGTGCCGAGAGAGAAGAACAGAATCTAAGGAAAGAATCCAAGGATAAGGAGGGTCTAGAAGTGTACGGAATGTTGAAGGAAGGAATAGGGTTCAAGGATTACCTACATGGACCAATGGATGCAAGGACAAAGCTTGAGGTCAAATTCAGGACCGGTGACATTGGCCTTCGAGAACGTCGAAGACGACGAGTTCAAATGTGATTGCGGCTTCGAATGCAAAGACCGTGTTCATGTAGTCGCGGAATGTCCCTTGTACAAGAAGGAGAGGGAAGTGTACGTGACTGAGCTGGGAAAACAGATGGGACGTCCAGGGAGATGTTTGAGGCATGGAATAGAGAGGAAAGGACGGTAGCTGTACTGGGGCATCGGAGGTGGGTTGAAAAGGCGGGAAGGGATATCGTTTGGATAGACAGACTAGGGAAGACATTTTTGAGCCGCCTTTGGCAAAGTAGAAGGAACGATTGGCCATCGGTGATCGGTCCTGTGGGAACAATGCTTCGTCCTCTCGAGGACGCGTTGTCAATGGTCTAACCGCTAAGGCATGCAAAACATAAGAGGACGCCCCCCCCCCCCTTACCCTTCGCCACGCCCTGTCCCCTATCGTCCCTCCCCGCCTCAGAACTACTTCTATCCCGACACCCCGAAGAACTACCAGATCACCCAGTACGACAGGCCGATCGCCGAGCACGGGGAGATCGTGCTGCCTTCTGGGAAGAAGGTGTGGGAGGACACGTGCCAAAGACTTGGAGGGCGTTTGTGCTTCGAAGCGAACCCGGATTACACGCTTGTGCCAGCAGTGAAGCGAAATGGGTAACAGCAACTGCAGCAGTCAGTCAACAAGCGGTGGATATCAGTATGCCTAGTAGTGACGCTGACAGTGATGGCATTTCGTTCTTTTGCTTCATCCCGACACAAAGGTGGGCGTCACGCGTCTGCATATGGAGGAAGACTCGGCGAAGATGAACCACCAGGGGGCAGAAAGCCTCGCAGGCTCCACGCACTCCCTCGTCGACTTCAACCGGGCCGGCACCCCTCTCGCCGAGATCGTGAGCGAGCCCGACATGAGGTCCGGGATCGAGGCCGCCGAATACGGGCGAGAGCTTCAGAGGGTGAGCCCCCCTATGTACCTAGATTTGAAGTATGTCGTCGTCTAGATGCGGGAAACCCTGGCGGTGTTTCGTAGCGGCCAACTTGCTGTGCATGGAAACGAGTTTGGAATGCACGCTTTGGATTGGATTGTGTTTGTCAGTCTCGCACTCGACGGTGGAAGTGCTCCCAGTACCTTACGGACTACAGTTAAGCCTCCAACAAACCAAGTAGAAAACACGATTAGTTGCTCCCCCCCTCGCCACATCGGGTGCAGGTGGTTGTAGTATCGCATGACGTCGACGTATCCACAGGGATCACTGCAGATGTCTCCGAACAACCTACTGACCCTGTGCTCGTTTGCTCCTCCGACTTGTCGCTTCGACGCTTATACTGCGCCAGGTGCTGCGATATCTGGGCGTATCGGACGGAAACATGGCGGAGGGGTCCATGCGTCTCGACGTGAACGTCAGCCTCAGGCCCAAGGGCGAAACCCGCCTCAATAACAAGGTAACTTGTTCCCCTGTAAAAAGCGCAGAGCAGCACGCGCGTCTTGCAGTACGGTGTTTGCACATTCGTCCAAGGGCTTCGGCGAGCAAGCTGTTGGGAGCGGTGACCACGTTATTGCTGAAAGAAATGGAACTCGCTGTGTCGGCGGGGGGGGCGGGGGCGGGGGGTGGGACGAGATGGTTCGAAGGGAAACAGAGACGCCGTGGCTGCAGCGGTTGTCGACGCCGTTCAGTTCTTGCGGGGAAATGGCGCTTTCAGGCAACTCAATCAAGCTCTGTAGATGGAACGCAGCGGAAGCGGGAAAGGCTTCTCTACTATCGCGAAGCTGACTGTTGTTGCCTTTGTTTGGCTTGCCAGCAGCGGTGCTGGGCCTACTTGCTGCATGACGTGCTTGTGTTGAGACGTTTCTCGTGGTAACTAACCGACCCCGTGGTTGTTGTTGTGCAGGTGGAGCTCAAGAACCTCAACTCCTTCCGAGCGGTGCAAGAGGCGGTGGACTTTGAGATCGTGAGGCAGTCCAGGTACCTACGTCTGTTTCGGCTCCGCATAGACGGTGACGACGATATTTTTAACTCTCAACGCCACTCCGCAAAGGACATGCCGGCCTGTGTCCGCTCTCGCCTCCGCATTTTTTTCCCGCGTTCATATTGCTGTCTCGAGCGAGCGCGCTGAGCATTTTTTTAGCGGGTGCTGCCTAACTTCGAAGAGCTCCGTTGTGATGAATCAGCCTGACATAGTCTCGACTTCTGTAGCTGTACAGCGTGCTCAGCGTAGGGGTGTCAAGCTTGAGGCAGCCGAGTTCTTCGTACCATGGCGTGAATCGACTAAATACAGCATTCGTAACAATGTAAAGTCCTTAAGTTGATTTTCTAGCTATACAACCTGCGCTCGTGTTTTTCCCTTCGATAATAACTTGTTTTCTGTCACAGGTGTTACGAGACAGATGAGATCATTCGGCAGGAGACGAGACTGTGGGACGAGAAGAAGAAAGCAACCCAAATCATGCGCGTCAAGGAGGGTAAGTCAGTCTGACACTTTGCTGCAGCAAGCATCACCGACAGTACTCAGAGTGCTCGTTGTGAGCCGTGGTGAGAAACCCTGCTGCATATTTTCTGTAAGTGCCATCGACCACCTTTTGTCATGCAAAACAACAATCAATATTCTGTGCCCAAAAACACTTTGCATGTGTTTAGCTTTCAGCAAGCATCATCGACCACCTTTTGTCATGCGATTCAAATATCACAAGCCACATGAATTACTAGGTCGAAAGCAGTAGACCATACTTGTATTGGCCTTCTTTTTCGTGCTGGTGTCGCTCCGCACAACAAGTATCGTCTCGGAAATTGTCACCAATGCCGTCTCGAGTGTTGTGCAATACGATAGCCTCTAAAAGCTGAGCCTTCGCCTGTTAGCGTTTGCGCGCACGATTGAACGACTCCAAGAGCTGTGGAACAACCACTGAAACCGCTCACAAACGTTGACGCTCTATTGTCGAGACACGAGTACCGACATTCGGTGCTTCGAACAGCGCCTTCCCCCCACCCAGTACGCACCCTTCCCTCCACACGGAACCCACGCCCCCTCGTGCGCGTAAAACTTGTGGTCCTCCAGGCGAAGCGGACTACCGCTACTTCCCCGAGCCAGACATCCCACCGCTCGCGCTGCCGGCGGAGTTACGACAAAGATGGCGTTCCGAGCTGTGCGAGTTGCCCGGTACGTACCTTTCCTAGCCTCACACAAGAGTAGCAGCGGGTGTTGAGCGGACGCGTTCACGGGAAAATTCGGCCAGATGGGCGTTGTCTTCATAGTTCAGAGGTCTAAGCCAGTCTGTACGCTAGTTCAAGCGTCTTGCCTGTGTGGGCTCGAATCTTCTACACTGTACCCCCCCCTCGCTCCTCCGTTTGTTTTGCACAC